GAGCCAGAAGGGCAGGGCTCAGACCTATGCCCGCCCGTTACGTTGATAACGACATGCCGGGCATGTAACACCAGCTAAGCGCAAACTTTATTTTAAAATCATAGGCAAGAGTATGCTGTGCATGGTGCCTGGAGTACGCTATGTTCGTAATCGGATTCGATCCGGGGAGTTCCCACCTCCTAGCAATTCGCACACCAATGTAACACCAGGCAAGAGCACTAAGGGCGATGCCAAGGGAGCTGAACCCTTCTTACAGGGCAGGCGTACACCACCTAGCACCATATCCTCCATCGATATGGTGTCTGCCTCGCGATCTGTGGCCAGTGTACGTGTGGCTGCTCCTTTTCCCCACCCACCACCCCTCTTTTGTTGCAGGACACCGCGCCCGCCAGCCCCTCAGAGATCCCCGGCCCGGATGACTCCGCCCGACTGGTCTGGGCGGTGGCCCAGATGGGCCGCCTGGCTCGGGAGATGGACGAGCTGAGGGCGCGCAACCGGGCACTGGCGGAAGACCTTTTCAGGTAGGCCCCCTGGGCCGCTAAGCCAATGTGTTCGGACTGCCATCATATCGATGGCGAGTTGAATGTTCGGCAGGTACCCCAGGAACCGGATTTGAGGATATACTTCTCCCCTACCCTACTAACTCCCCCCCCCCCAATAGCCCTCCTCTGCCAAGGACTCTTTGTTCTCCTTATTTGTTGTCTTGTACGTTGTTTTGCGGGGGTCCGTCTTGCGTACCAGGCTTAAAATTCTGGCCACTGAAAAGGGACCCACATGGAATGTCAGTGACCCGTGGGTCACGCCAGCATCCGCCTACGCTTTACGATTTGTTTTTTAACTTTTAATAACCGGTGTTTTAAAATGCGATATGCACCATCTCTTGGTGACTGGTGCTGTCGACACCGGGTCCGGGTCCGGGTCCTCCTCTGTCCTGGAGAGCCCTTTGAGGACTGTGTTCTCTTCTCCCCCCCGCTGCGGCCTGAGCCCGCTCTTGTTGTTGTTGTTGTTGTTGTTGCGCCTGTGTAGACTGTCCCAGAGCGGCCTCGGCTCAGCACCGCCACCGCCACCTCACCCCGGAGCCTCCGCCTCCGTCTACGGGATGGGCCCTCATCCGCAGCCGCATCATGGGGGCCCGCATTCGGCATCCCAGGCCTTCGGACCCTACTCCCAGCCGCACCCGCAGCCGCTTGTTGGTGGCCCTGGTGGCACGTCCATGGCGGTGGTGCAGCCGCCGCAGCCCGCTGTGGTGGTGAACTCTGCTGCTGATGTGGAGGCGCGGGTGGCGTTGGAGCTGCGGGCGGGGCGGGCGGAGCAGGAGGTGGCGGCACTGCGGCAGCAGGTACGCGTGACTTGTAACCCGCGCGCGCATGTGCGTCTGTATGTGTGTGTGTGTGTGTATCATCGTGTGCGCACCTGGTTCAACCTGGTAACTGGTAACACAAAATTAGATTAATTCCAATCTCGCTTAAATTGAACACGACTTTAAGTCCAATTTGGACTCTTTTTTAAGTGAGTCCAGTTTGAATCTGATCTATATTTCCCGTACCTGTTTTTGCACAAAAAACCCAAATCGCAGCTGGAGGTGATGGCGGCACGGCTGTCTCAAGCGGAGGCGGACGCGGCGGCAGCACGCGAAGCGGCTGCAGCAGCCCACGTGGCAGCTAGCAAGGCGGAGGCGGATTTGGCAGATCTATCCGGGGCATACAACAATCTAGAAGCGCATGCCTTTGCGACGGAGGCGCAGCTGCGGAGCGCGCAGGGCGCCTTGGCGGCGGCGCAGGCGGCGGCGGCGGCCGCAGAGGCTCGATCGCAGGCAGCGGCGGCGGGAGCGACAGGTGCGTGTGAGGGATCGCGGCTCGGATGGGTGGGTGAGGCGGGGTGGTTCGGATGGGTGGCCGAGGGAAGCAGCGGATTGTCGGTTGTGGAGAGGGATTGGGTAAAGGTAATGTTTGCGTGTCTTGACGGCTTGAACCCCGACGACGGCTTGCTGCAAAAAGAAATGTTTGCGCGTTGGGGCAACGAATTCCGCTTTTATGTGTGTTGGCTGCTTGTCCGGATTGTGCACGACTTAGGTATGACTTAGGTATGACTGTATAGACTATAGATGCTTCCTTGCCTTGATGGCCCGTGGGCCAGGCATCATGATTTTGAATGTGGCTTGCGTAATTTAAGTTAATGGGATTATATTGATCTTGTATGACCCTGATGATTGCAGGACCAGCTCACGGCGCGGGGGGCCTCTCGGAGGCGGACATCCAGCGTCGGATTGAAGAGGCTGTTGCCGAGGCTCGCGCTGAAGGCAAGGCGGAGGCCGAGGAGGGAATGACAGATTTATTTGTGTGCTTAGGACAGGAAGAGCGAAAGGTAGAGGTACTTCGACAAGCCCTTGAGGGGCTTGGTTTGGACGCCGAAAGTTTGTTAGCGACGATTCAGGAGGAGGAGGGGGGCTGAGGAGTTACGATGATGGAAGGCTTTGTAAAGCGTTTGCTATGGTAAAACATTTCCAACAGGCTGTTAAATCCTCTATTTACGGCATTGCTCGTGGGGCCACCACGTCGGGCCCCGCCACATCGTCACATCCTGAAGCCAAGCCCTAACTGTAATCAGGTCTCATACATCGTACTGATACGTTTTCCACTGAATTGTACACGCCAAATTTGCTAGAAGGTTCACGCTCGCGCCAGTCTAGACCCCAGCCTGCCTTCCCTCACACATATTGAGCAGAACTTTACCAGCTATCGTCTAAGAAATTTCAAAAAATTGAAGCATACTTTTAAGACGGATAGAATTTTGTAAAATTTCTGTTGTCAAGCTCATCTTCCGCGCGCTTGCAACACTTCTCTCTTAATGGCATTGCATAGAATCGGATAAATTCAGTGGCTGGAGATGGCGGATGCAGACGTGGAGGAGGAGACCATCACACAGGTGCGTTTAACCATTATGCGAGTTTTTAGTTGGTGATAGGCCAAAGGTCCTTGGGCTGGACGTTCCATAACCCCCTCGCGACGATTCTTCTCTGATCATTAATGCCAATCCTTTATTTCCGTTGGCTTAACTGGCTCTGGTCTGGGCTGACACGACATCTGCAGCTTCGGTTGCGTCAAGCAAGGTCCTTGCGTAACATAACTTTGTTCAAGTCCCCCTTGCGGACAACTTACTACTGCGGCTGCTACGTCGCGAATGGGCTCTACAGCGGAGCGAAATGGGTCGCAAGTCACCCAGTCACGATGCTGGTCATACTGCCGGCTTTACTTGCGTATGCGGGCACCAAATGGGCAGGATGCTATCAGGAATTGTTAGCTGAAGTTGAGGTGAGCAGACGCCGTCATCGCACATGGTTTAGCTTTTCCCGCGCCCCCTCCTCCCATGGTTGGGTATGCTTTCTTTACATCTGCCGCAGCAGTCTTTCCTTGGCCATAAGGAAATCAGCTTCGTTCGTTCGTGGTTCCTCTTTTCCCCCCTCCTCCCCCTCCCTCATTCCAATCTCCCATCTTCTCGTCCTCTTTCCCGCGCCC